GGACTTCAAAGTTTTTGTTGAAAGCCAGGACAAACAGGTTAAACTTGGAAATAAAAGCCCAGTTTACTTAAATCATATTTTTACTTCGGAGGTGAAAGGTGTGGTAGCTTTACATAGAGACAATGCCAACAAAATTGCGGTTGTTTTTAAACAATACAACACTGCAAATAATTTCATCACAAATACAGACTTTTTAACAAAGCACAACTTGAAGGCGCATATTCCTGCAGCGCAGATAGAAAAAACTGGAATCATCCGATATGTGCCTACCAACATTTCGAACAAGGAATTATATACGAAACTGTCTTCGATTTATGAAATTATTTCAGTGAGAAGATTCACGAAAAAAGTCGGTCAAAGTACTGTAGGTCTCGAGAAGGTCAGTATAACTTTCCTATCAAATGTTCTGCCCGACAACATCCAATATGACCTATTTTCGTTCAGGGTGTTTGAATATGTCCCACCGTTACAACAATGCTTCCGGTGCTTCAAGTTCAACCACCCTGCGAAAATTTGTAATGGTAAACAACGTTGCTCGATATGTGCTGGGGAACATAATTTCAGAGACTGTGATAAAAAAGAAAACCTGTGTTGTGTCAATTGCAGTGGTCCCCACCTGGCCATTTCCAAATCTTGCCCAATAAAAATGAAAAAAATACTTGAAAAAAAGGGTAAAATTACTTATGCCTCTGTAGCTAATACAATTAAGTCATCTGATTTTCCGTCTTTACCTGCACAGTCGAGCAGCATTGTTAAGACCCTACCATCAATAAACCAAAATGTACATAAATTAAATAAAAATGTAAAAATTGTAAATAATGTAAATAAAACAGTGCCTGAACCCAACTTGAACCAAACTCAACTTAAGGCTCAAATTGCAAACAATAAGAATATTTTGATGGCAATGGTCCAAACTTTAGTCGAATTAGGTAATAAAACAGATAATGAACCTGTGACTACACTGTTCATTAAAGACTTACTTTTAAAAAATCTGTCACAATAATGGACAGTACAGTACAGAACATACAGCAGTTATGTATAGCTCAGTACAATATTCAAAGTATACATAGGAAAAAATCCTTATTGTCTAAATTTTTAGATGAGCAAAATGTTGATATCTGTCTACTCAATGAAACTTGGCTGAAAGATACTCAGCATTTTAACATTTCGGGATATAATTTCCACTATTTTTACATTATCATAATGCCCAAAATGAGCATGGTGGAGTAGCAATTTTGATCAAACCGTATTTTAAATATAATATTATTCAAACCAGATTTTACCAAGACATTCAGACTGTGGCATTATTGTTATATGTAAGTGGTAAACAATTAACGATTTTATGTGTATACTGCCCTCCATCGAATGGTAACTTCAGAATAAGTAAACTGCGTGATATAATTAGAGATTTGCCTAAGCCAATATATGTGGCTGGAGATTTCAACGCTCACCATGTGGCATTTGGGTGTATGACCACGAAAAGTCGGGGTCATCAGTTATACGATTTAATTGATGAATTTGATCTATGTGTCCTCAACAATGGTAGCTTCACTACTATTAATTATCCTAACCGAAATCCATCGGCTATTGATGTCAGCTTATGTAGTGCTTCAATCACTCCACTATGCGAATGGTGGGTGCATGATGATTGTATGGGGAGCTATCATTTTCCTACGCTTACTCGTGTTTTATTGCCAGTTGATAGATACCAAATTAATCCTCCCATTGAAAAATTCTTATACAACAAGACAGACTGGACAAAATACAATGAGCTGTCTATAACTGCTTTTTCTAATTTTGAAGTTAATAATGAGAATCCATTACAGTCATATGATGAATTTATTGAAAGGCTTGATACACTTAGGAGAGATACTGTGCCAAAGTTTGTCAAAGCAAACAACTATCGTTGCAAACCTCCAGCACCTTGGTGGAGTGACACATGTGAACAGAGTGTTATTAAAACTTATGAAGTTTTAAAACTGTACAGAAGAGATCCAACCATTGATAATTACATTAATTACAAAAGACTTAATGCTGTTAAGAAAAAGACTATTTCAGAACATAAACGCAATGGTTGGGCTAATATCTGTAATACTTTTAACAGAACTACACCTGTTAGTATTATTTGGAAATACATCAAGTTATTTAAACGAATAAAATGCAATAATAGAACATATAAAGACGAATTTGTAGTCCCTCTTTTAGACAAATTATCTCGAAATGGATGTAGGGTTATTGATAATCTAGAAAGTTATTTTCAAATTAATAATAGTCTTCAGAAGTCCAGTTTCCTCATAGAACCCTTTACTTGGAGTGAGTTTTGTACAAGTTTACAATCCAGACGAAACACAACCCCTGGTTTAGATAATTGTCCATACATTTTGATCAAAAACCTAAATCAGTCCGTACAAAAGAAACTATTAGCTAATCTTAATGCTCTTTGGCACTTAAAAAAAATTCCTGAATCTTGGAAAACACAGTGTGTAATCCCTCTACTTAAGCTTGACAAGCCACCTGAAGATCCTAATTTATATCGTCCTATATCTTTGTCATCTTGTGTTGGAAAGCTTAATGAATACATGATAAAGATGCGTCTTGAGTGTTATGTAGAGGCGAACAACATCATTCCACATGTTCAATATGGCTTCCGGAGAGGCAGAAGTTGTGCTGACAGCTTCATCTCTCTCTTGTCAGATCTGAAATATGCCAATAATAATAATAAGTCCAGTGTTTGTGTTTTTCTGGATATTGAAGGTGCGTTTGATAATGTAGATCCTGGCATTTTGGTTCAAGTTCTTTCTGACATTGGTATACCAGGCATACTTTGCCATTGGTTATTTAATTTTTTAATAGATAGAACTTTGTATATAAGGCATAATAATATTCTCCATGGTCCCAGAAGGGTCTCCAAAGGTACAATGCAGGGGGCTACATTATCTCCATTGTTGTACAACATATACACTAGTCAAATTCTTAATTTTGTAAATATAGAAGGTGTAAATATTTTACAATTTGCGGATGATCTTGTAATATATTGTACAGACCATAATGTAGATAGAGCTGTAAATAGTATAAATAATGCTTTAGAGCAATTGTACATATATTATAATGACAAGTTGGCTCTACAGATTAACCCTAACAAAAGCAAGGCCATGATTTTTAGTAAAGATTTTCCCTCTAATGGCATACTCTACAATAATCATCCAATTACAGTTGTATCTAACCATAAATTCCTGGGTGTTGTCATTGATAACAAACTTTGTTTTAATTTACACATCAATCACATTATAACTAACTCTCTTAAGGGCTTAAATATTATAAGATGTTTAGCTGGTGTGACTTGGGGTGCAGACCCCAATGTTTTAAGTATGCTATATAAATCTATAGTCAGAAGCCATTTCGACTACAGTTGTTTAGCCTACTCAAATAGTAGTTGTGTAAAAAAGCTAGACATAATTCAAAACAAAGCTCTGCGAATTATTTCTGGGGCTATGTGTTCAACTCCCATACGAGCTATGGAAGTTGAAACCAAAATAATGCCACTGTGTCTTAGAAGACTTCTGCTAATAGAGAGATATTTACTAAAGCTGGTATCTGGTAATGATAATGTTCTCAAAAAAATAGTACCTTTTCCTTTACAATGCTCGGTCCAGCAGACTTCGGGAGGTGAGCTTTTACAAGGTTATTTTCCAGTTTTGCCTCTCATTGTACAGCAAATGAATGAAGATTTTAAAAATGTAATTAAACAATCAAAGTGGACATGCTACACATACCCATGTTCCTGTATTATATTTGAGACCAATATTGTTACCAAAAATTTTTTTAATAATTGTGAATTATTAAGTTTTATTTCCGACAATAACTACTATACTTTGTATACAGATGGTAGCAAAAGTGAGCTCTTTGTGCGCAGTGCCGTTTATGATCCACAATGCAAGTTTGGTCAAAGTTTTCTTCTGGACCCTAAATGCAGTGTTTTCACTGCAGAGGTATATGCGGCCCTCGAGGCCCTGAAGAGGATTGCACATATAAATAGTTTTAATAATTTTTTAATTTTAACACACAGTTTAAGTATGGTCCAAAGTTTAACTAATCTCAGATTTGACTTTAAAAAAAAACTATATTTTGTATAATATTAAAAAATTGTTATTTAGTTATGCAAAAAAGGGTATACAGGTCTCTTTCATGTGGATTCCATCACATAGGGGCATAACAGGAAATGAGATAGTAGATAAAATTGCACGTGATGGAACCAACATGTTGGATGTTAGCTCCATAGTAAAAGTACCTTTGACCGACTGTTATCAATCTATTGACAACCAGGTCAATAGCTTATGGGTCGAATTTTGGAAACAAGATCAAGAACAGAAGGGTAAATGGTATGGAACTGTTCAAGAAAAACTACCTGTAGCACTATGGTATAACAAACTGAAAATGGCCAGTCGGGACTTTGTTACCACTATAAATAGACTGCGCTTTGGTCACTCCACCGTCCCGGCCCACCTGGCTCGATTGGGCATAGTGGAGAGCAGTTACTGCACCTTCTGCAATAATTCTGTTGGTGATATCGAACATTTCATATTTACATGTGAGTGCTTTTCATTTGACAGATTGATTCTTGTCAGTGAAATTAGTGACATAGTGCAAAATCAAGTGACAGTGCAAGATCCCTCCCGCCGCCTGAGTGATATGTTAAAAAATAGATCCTATTACGTGCCTCTATATAAATTCATCAAAAATACAGTGGGGAAATTATAATAAACCGAATAAAAATACTCAAGACTTGGCCTAAAGGTCTAGATGCCAGGCCATAAACTCCAAAAAAAAAAAGTTTGTGGGTATTAGTGTTCTATGGTTTATGGGTTATATTTTATACCAGTGAAAGATTTCTATTAAAATAAAATAAATATTAACATTAAATATATTATTGAATACGACTACTGAACGTTTATACGAAAATACCTGTTTGTTTTTTTAATAGATTTATTATAAAGATCAAAATGTTCAGGCCTGACATAATATATCAAAACCAGCGGTCTGGACACTGGCCTCAGCATTTTAATCCAAGAGGACAATTTTTACGACGGAATGCTGTTGTTAATCGTTTTCGGCCTCCAGTGTCTTCAAGTGCACAAATTAATTATCAGTTTTGGTGTGAAACTTGTGATAAAGGTTTCCAAACATTGCTACTATTAAACAACCACAAATTACAGCATGAGGTAAATCAGCATTGGTTTCTAATCCCTTAATAATCACCATTTTTAATTAGTACTTTTCTGTTAGCGTAGTAGTCACTCTAATTCTAACAATTTTTGAAACATTATCATTATCGTCAATAATACGGCACTACAAGTCTACTGCTGAACATGGAAATAAATGTATTACTACTTTTACTTAAACGCAGCTCCCAATTGCCGCTCTTGTTATTTTACTGTTGGCATAAAATAATTGATTATACTTATACTGACATTTCCTTTAATCCAGGATGTAACAAAAATCAGACAAAATCATTAACAAATTGTTTGTCTATGCTGATGTGCATGCTTATCTCCTCAATGGTCTATCAAAGATCAACCCTCCTGGTTACAATGCATGGGTTATTACTTAACTTTTTTCTAAAAGATTACAAATGTAATATTAGAGTGAGGTGGAGCAATACAGCTGGATTTATGCAGCTCACTCAATAGAATTTTTGCACAAGAACTGTTTCAAAATAATCAGTTTCCTGTCAGAAAGTCGAAGCATAGCTGTCTTCATATGTGGGTTAGCGACCTTAAGCTTCCTCAAATGACCAGCAGTGTATAAACATGTCACAGATCCATATGTCATCACTAGTAAAATGCACTGATTGTACACTCTCATTTTTAAGTTTTAAAGAATACTTGATGAGAATATGGCCCATGCCACATTTATCAATTGAACTCTGATTATAGTTGGACTTACCTAATCCGACATTTTGCCATAGATAAACATTCTCATCAACTTGATTCATAATGTTTTCAGACTGCCTATGAATTGTAACAACTATAGTAAATATACCCTCAATGAATAATGGTAGTAAAAGGTGTATGTCAATTCATAGTTGTAAACGATATCTGCCAATTCACTGTCAATATTTCTAAATGAAATACAGTTGACTCTCGATAACTCGAACATTGATAAGTAATAACCCTCAGTAACATGAAAAAAAATTGCCATTCCCTTCTGCTGAACCCCTAAATATTTTTTTATAAGATAATTGTAATAAGAGAGCACACAGTCCACCTGATAGTATGTGCCTGCTGTGGCCCATAGACATCTAAATCTATCCTCGTTTGTAAATCAATGCAAAATTGTAAGCCATGAGGAATAAGATGGAATGCCTCTTTTCCAGTAAAAAGGGTCTCCGGTTCTCTACTCTCATTGTTTGAAACACAGCAGCATTAAGGTGTTATTTTATGCTAATATTCTGTGAGATGTAATAGGTAGTATATTGTGTAATATGTATTATCTCTAATTATTTGTCAGAGTTAGTAAAATATAATTACATCTGAGAGATGACTACATATTTGTGCCATTTGCTGTAGAGACTATCGAACCATGTGGTCCATGTGTGATGAAGTTCCTAAAGGAACTCCATCTGTGGCTGTTCCTTGCTGCTGGTGATAAGAGGGCTGGTTCTTTTCTCGCTCAAAGGCTAAGTATAGCCATTCAGCGGTGAAATGCAGCCAGTTTTCATAGCACAATATCGTGGGGAGTACACATATAGTCCTAATATGATAATTAAGTTACTAGTTAAATTTTTTTTTATTATAGTTTTTTAATATTGTTTGTAAGACCATTACATCTTACTTAGAATTCGTTGAACTCATAACAATAAAATCCAAAAAGAATGTTTTTGCTCCGTACACTTGCAATGAATGAATACAATCATTAAACTTTTGAAGTAATATATGTACCTTAAGTGTATTTAGTTTTGGGGAAAAAATCTCAAAATTCATTTTAAGTTGAAATTAAGTTGAAAACTCACTAACTGGAATTTTTTTATATTTCCCTTGAAATTCGAGTTATCGAGATTTGACTATAATCTTAATAAAAATCAAAAAATCTACACCTATCATAGAACTGATGACTCTAGCACCAGTATTTCAATGCATTAAAAACACATAATATCTTTAAACAAAATAATCATAAAAGCATAGATTTTTGTATAATAAAGGTTCTTCATGAAAAAAGCATTAGATACTAATACATTAGATATATTTCGCTATTTTTTATAGTTATTTGCAACTCCCCACACAGTCTGTGGCTACATGTATCATACATCCAAGTAAGGCCTAGTTGGACCTTATCCACAGATTATGTGGCATACTTATTGGAAGATCCAAGTGATATATTTGTTTATTTATCATAAACTACATCCGTAGATTAATTTTAGCCCACCTAAGATATTATATTAAAAAAAAATTACTTTATTAAAAGTAAAAGTGCATTTTAAACAATTAAAAAGTATAAAAAATAATTTCACATTCAGAGGTCAGTGCTAAGACATAGTAGAAGTAATAACGTCTGAATTTGAAATTATTTTATATTCTTTTTGGTTCTTTGAAGTCTGTTTTTACTTTTTATTAAAAGCTAATTTTCAACCGACATCAAAGAAGGGGAGGTAATCAATTTGACTGTATGTTTTTTTTATGTGTGTTACCTTATAATTTTTTTTCTCGGTGAAGCGATTTCGATGATTCTTTTTTTATTTAAAAGCTGATGCTTCTCATGTAGTCCCATATAAATTTGATCAAGGTCTGACCAGTAATTTTTGAGTTATCCTTAATAATTTATATTGAAGTCGGTTGCACAAAATTTTTAATGTTACCACTTGTTTTTATCCATTTTTGTTACCGTTGATTGGCCTCAGGAATATCACAAGCTTAATGTTGTCTAAATAGTACCATTAAAATGTACATTAATGAAGTATCATACTTAATAACACCACAATTGATGAAGATATTGAGTAACATACATATAAAAAGAAAGAACATACATATATTGGAATTGAGATCCTTCTCCTTTTTAAAGTCAGCTAAAATTACAGGTAACAACAGTTCCCCTTTACAAAAATATTCTCAAATTCTTATTCTCAAATTTATATAAACAATATTACTATATTTCAGAAATGCAACATTGATGGGTGTCAATTTGTCGCTCACCCCAAAATTATCACAAAACATATTCAAATGCAACATTCAACAGGATTGTATGAAAAAATTGCAAAGTTAAATAACCCTGAAGAGATTCAAAAATGGAGAGAAGAGAGAAAACGAAAGTATCCTACAAAACAAAACCAAGAAAAAAAGGCAGCAGAGGTCAAAGAAAAGGTAGAAAGAGGTGAAAAAATGGGATTAATGAGATTAAGAGAAAGTAATAAACAGAAATCAGGTGGGTTAACAATTTTTTTATATATATATGTTGTCAAATTTTATTTGGCAATTGGGATAAACATCCATTGTTGATCATTATGTGCATAATATAGAAAAGTAGTGTTATTTGAGTTTAAGCATGTGTACAGGTACATGTATATAGGTGTAACTTATTGAAATTTTTTGGGATGTGAGCTAAGGGTCATATTAGTAAAGGGTAATAACAAGTTTGAACAATTGATCTTATGATGAAGGCAAAATATGATGAGAGGTGAAGTTTGTGAGAAAGTGGAAAAACAGACAAAAATGCTCAGTATTGTTAGCATCCCGATTTGCCTTAGTTTGGCGGGTGTCTGGGTGCCAATTGAAAGAGGCTAATAAAGTTAAACATTTTGTGTCCACAATAACTTTCATTGTCATCATCATTACAGCTTTATAAAAGTCCACTGTTGATAGGCCTCCCCCAAGGAATGCCACAATGGACAACCCTGAGCCATCAGCCATCTTACCAGGTTTTCACTCCATCTGGGAGGTGGGGGGGCACTACACTTCGCCTACTAGTGTGATGTATCACGCAGAGAAACCCTCTCTGTAGCTTGCTGACAAACCTTGAGCTCTGTCATACGGCCAGTAGTGAAGGACCATGTCCCAGATCCATATTATGTCATCAACATGCACTAGTTGTATAATCTTTTTCAAGTTTTGAAGTATACCTGACAAGAAGATGTGTCTCAATCTCACAAACACTGCCGAGCTGAGTTAAATTCTTTGATTGATCTCTAGGTCATACTTTGACTTACCTAGTCGGACTAGTTTGTCTTAGGTAAACATACTCGTCGACAACTTCGAGCGTACTATCAAAACAACTACCAGCATAGGTGTGACATGGATGTTACATATGACCTTTATTTTGTCCATGTTCATTGTAAGACCTATCCGTTGGAAGACACTATTGAGATCATTGGGGGGGATATTACGGTACCCTGTCTTACACCTCTCTGCAGTTGTATTGCTTTCGTACTCTGGTTCTGTACTCTGGTAGCAATCATAACCCTACTGCACAATCACTTCAGTACTTCAATATACCGACTGTCAACTTGGCACCACTGAAGGAACTGTAGCACTGCCCAAATTTCGATGGAATCAATGGCTTTCTCATAGTCCACCTTCGCCAAGGGAAGTGGCAGATTGTACTCTTGGTCTTTAGTACAATTTGCCGAAGGGTATGTATGTGGTCTATGGTACTAAAGCCTTTTCGGAAACCGGCTTGTTCGGGAAGAAGGTATATTTTGTTAGAACCTCGACCCAAACGTGCTAGTACGTAGTAGTTCGCGTCTCGTCTCTCTAATCTCACGCACCGCGCGCAAGCACAGACTGCGCTTTATACAAAAATAATGACTATTCATTTGTATATAATTATTCTATATTTATTTAGTTACAATTTTTTTTATATGTATGGCACATTTATGTTATATGTAATAGTTTTAAAGTATATATTTGTACTTTTATACATTTTTAAAAATATATATTTATATGTATATATATACATATATATCATTCTATATTTCTATTTTATGGGTTTAATAAAAATAATGTTATTTTTGTCGCCAAACCACACACGTTTTTATTGTTGTCTTGTAATCCTGTCCATCCAAAGGTTGTCTGGAAGAGATCACTCTTAGCGATAAGACGAACCATTGTACCACATTTCTTTTTCTCATTTTTTGTAAATATGTTATTTTTTGGCGTACAATAAAGTGTTATCTATCTATCTATTTATCTATGCTTCCCTATGGATTTTCTAAGCACTAAGTACTAGCACTAATAGTAGGTATAGATTGATCAGAAGGTGAAACAGATAAAAATTGAAAAGTGAAAATGTTTAAAAGATTGGTTATCCCTAAAGTATGCATTTCCACCAGCCTTATAGGACATACACTTAAGTTAGTGTACACTTGTTTCATGATATATTGTTCAATATATGGTTATGAGATTATATCTAAGTAACCAGAATCTGGTCAAAAATCAAAAACAAAAATAGTTTTATTAAAAATGATGACGAAACATTCTGTAAATACTAGAAAAGTGTAAATTATATCCCAGTTAATCGACTCCAAAAGAGACAGTAATTCTTACATGAGACCATGTATACTCTTTTACAATAAAGTCCCAGAAAATATGCAGGCCTTATCTATCAAAAAGATTTTTTTTTTATTAAGCATAAATTGTTTAGTAAGGGTTATTATACTACTAAAGAGTACATGGTTAAGAGCAATAATTGGGCATTGGGCACTGATTAAATGGGCAGTTTTTGGACGTACTTAACGTCGTACGAAATTTTATGATACATAAAGTTTTAAAAAAGAAAAAAATATATTAAGACTACTTTTTATGATTGTATCCGCTTGGCTGAAGCTTCAAGAAAAGAAATAAACTTAAAGAAAGCATACATAAGAAGGTTTTATTTTTATTTAGAATTTAATAGGAAATGCTGGGTGATTATTGATTTTTTTTTAAATTCGTATATCTCAAGACCTGTTCATTTTCAGCCATACATATGGGGGGTCAAATTTTCAAGCATTTACACTACAAAATCACGCCCTGCCATGAAGTTGTCGAGTTCCCAGTATCAATCATAATATAATACAAAAGGAATTTCGATTCAACCGAGTGTTCCACGACACTCACGCATGTTTTTTTTTATTACAAATTAATTTTCATTTACATTGATTACAAATTAATTAAAAATGAAAATTTATATAAAAAAAAACTGACATGTAAGAGAACTATTGTATAAAGAAGGAGAAACTTGTTATAAACCAAGACATACAGATTCTTGAAATCTATTCCCAGGGTGTTAGAAAATGGATTTACAACATCCTTTTAAAGATCTTTATGCACCGTAGAGCAAAATTGACAGAAACAAGTTTGAAAATTTACAATACCGTAAAGCCGGGTTTTTTAGCTGTTTTTTTAGTTATTTTACGAATTTGATCTGTGGTTTGTATTGGTATTGTCCTTTTAGTATTCTTATATGCTATAAAGAAGCTTGAGGATGTACTCAACAAGATATGAAGTGTATTTTAGAAATATGATACCTAACAGTAACTTTTTTTTTAAGTTAAAGTTTGGGCCAAAGTTGTTCTTAGGAAAGGGTTAATTTAACCCCATGAACTTTATCGCTGAAAAATCGCACTTGCAGCTATTATTGGCCAAAGAAACCATCCAGGGCGGAAAGATTGAATATATCCAAGAGAGATTTAATGTAAGAAAAAAGTTCGAAATAAATTAAAACACGATGTAAAATCAATATTATATATTTCAAAAAGATTTACAGTAAGTAAATTTCTCAACAATATCTCAACTCAGTAGCAAACTTACAGAAATACAACAATAATATTATCTTAGATTAATTAGGTAACATTTGCAAACATATATTTTACTTCTCAGTCTAATTAAATTATAATTTCAGTCTTATTTAAATGAGAATCAACGTTTACCAGTAGCATAGGAAATCTAATTTTCTTCTCTTAGTTTCTCTCTTAGTTCTTATTACACGTTCATTTCCGGAACCGAGAAACAACCCTTTTTCTCCAATTTTGGAGGTCCAATCTTACACAATATGTGGTCCCAACCATAAAGTTGTTCATCTTTTATCGTGGGCCACCGCCAGTACGTCTTACCTTTTTTCATGCACGTTATAAAGGCTCCTTCCTCGGAAACTGCTAAGACTTTACCTGGGTATTTGCGTGAGTTCCATGTTACTAGAACATGGTCGCCTACAACAACATCTAGATCAAGTGAACCTCCTCGAAAACCTGGTGGCTCTAATGTATCCTGCGGTAACTTTTTGATTTGACGTGCGGGCGAGACCCGCAAGTTTTTGTCTTGACAATCTTCAACAACTACCTGCATTTTCTCTCTTTCACTACATTTTTCTTCAACGATCTGTATACCCTCAATAGATTGAATGGGAGTGAAGTCTTTAAAAACATCAAACAGCTGTTGCTCTACATCTGTTACTTGAAGAACAGGAGAGCCACACTCCTCTTCTACTTCACTCTCCTGCTGAAGATCAGGCGAATGTCGAAATGTAGGTGCATCAGTATCACTAATCTGACTCACATAGTTGGCCAGAAGAACATCATCCTCAGAGTCATAAGGCATTATGTGGTCTTCAGTGGAAGAAGCTAGACTGATGGTCCTGTCACTGCAGCTTGAAGATGAAGAGACGTTACGTTGTCTTCGTTTTGTTGCCCTTTTCTTTTCCTTTATAGTTTTAGCCTGCTGTAAACCCGATGGACCTGCTTCTGCAAGGTCAGTGGCACAGATTGATTTTCCAGGTGGCACATTAAGTTTCTTTTTCCTAATTGTTTTCTGTTCTGGGCACGCCTCAGCTCGGTACTGCACCAATGTATGCATAAAAGAGTTCCCTATAAGACCTGCGTTTATTATTCGATCTTGTTTGGGTAATCTAGCTAAAGGCTCCTCTTTGTCAATGGGGTATATGCCTGTCTTTCTGAAACCAGCAATCAAATTCGCCTTGGTCTCGGTCAAAGAATCCAAAGCCGTTTTTAATAGTCGTGGAAACTGATCCTTAGGTGTAGTCGACAGTTTCCTACCCAGTTGACTGTTCTTCCATTAAAGCAATACTTGCCGCCACTTGCACTTCAAAGGTCGAAAATATGCGACGTCTAGTGGCTGAAGTATATGTGTAGCGTTGGGTGGCAAACAAATAAAACTAACATTGTGCTTCTCACACTCGTTCAAAACTGTTTTATTAATGTGTGAAGCAAGGTTGTAACCAATCACTACTTTTCTACCATTTTTCTTCTTAAGAACTGGCATAAGATGATTGAGAAACCAGTCTTCAAAAGTTGCGCTGTCCATCCATCCGCTCTTTGTCCTATTATATCGAGCGCCTTCGGGACTATTTTCAGTCCAAGTCGACCAGAGATGATCCGACTTATAAACGATGAACGGTGGAACTGTTTCCCCAGCGGCGTTGCCACAGAACATGACAGTAAAATTAACTTTTGTAGCGTTTACTATTGTTTCCGGATATTTTGTTCCTCTTCTGCATAATATAGTCT